CGCTGTCTGAAGATAGCGCTGTCTGTGGTCATGTGGCCAGCATGACTAAACACCAAAGGCGCACAGAACACTGTTACCTTCCCACCAAAATGGCCCCTATTATTCTTGCATTTGCACATGCTTTTGAACTGCTAGTTTGGCAGAAGCTTGGACAAGTAATGGGAGCTCACTCTGTTACATGGCACTAGGGATTCGAACCGCCAAACTGCTGACCTTTCTGATTGACAAGCTCAGCATCTTACGTGTGCGCGCACACACACACACACTGATATAGATTCAAATATTCAAGAATAGATATGTGTGTATATATACAATATACTTAAGTTTGTGTGTGTTTGTGTGTGTGTGTGTGTGTGTGTGTGTGTGTGTGTGTGTGTGTGAACCAGTAGTAGATAGGGGACAGTTAAGACAGTCTTGACTTTTCTCTCTGTGGACACACCTGCTTAACAAATATCTACAAATTTTGCCCTAGGTAAACAAGGAAAGGTTTAAGATTTAATTCTAACATCATGTAGTGAAACGTAACCTCAAGATTGTTGTCTATTTATTTAGTTTGCTACTTGGAAAAACAGAAGAAGGATGAAAGAACAAAAAGGGGTTCATATAGGAATTGATGCCCAAGTTCTCTGGGCTTCCGGTATCATCTATTATACACCTCAGCTATAACTGCTAAATAAGCCCCAGCACACTTTTTTTTATAAAAGAATGAGGCTCAATGGGAGGGGAAGAGGGGGGGGGGAAATCATGTCTGTAGAACAATGACACAAAAAAAGAGTCGAATAGATTTCTCCAGCACTGCAAGGAAGGGAACTGTCATACACCTGTCATTCAGAGATAGGTGTTCCATTTAATGTTCTGGTTAGAGGGCATTCAAACAGCAAAGCACAGAACAGATAGTTAGATCAACCAATCAGCATGCAGGGTGTTCATCTTTGCATAATGCACAGTTGGAATTTGGGAGGTGTTTGTGTTGTTCCATCTGCCCCTATTTCCAATCCAGGTTTACCCATCAATTCCTTTTCAATCTAGGGTATGTGGTGAAGGTTATGGGCCATTGCAGGCAACAAGAGTAAGTAATTAATTAATATATGTAAGTAACTCTCTTCATATTTCAGGTCATTGATAAACAAGAAGAAATAAAGAAGGAGCAAGGCTTTGCAAATACAAAAGAATATATTATGTTCTTCCAAAGTGTATTTCCCTTCTTCTAATTTTTAGGTTCTAAGGGTGAATACAGCTAGATTTGAAATGGGCCATTTAGAGAGATTTTAGTGTAAGGGTGCTGCACTGTGCAGAGAGATGGATGCAATGAATTAAATGGCCCCTTACATTGTTATATGATTCTGTGATCCCACAGAACCAGAAGATAACCCTATTCCTAGGTATGTCTGTTTTCATAAATCAGGTACAGATACAAAAAACAACAATGATCAACAGATGAAAACAGCAAATAGTAGTTTGTTCCAACTTCATAAAAATCCCTTTCTGGGAGCAGATTTCTCCTCCCTCCCTCTTCCCCTCTGTCTCCCTCCCTCTGTCTCTCACCCCCCCCCCCAATTGTTACTATATAGATTTTTAGGAATACTTATTTTAAATTATTATTAAATAATTAGTTTAATACAAAATAAAACAGTGATGGAAAGGGACAAGAAAATAAAAGAAAGAAAAAGAAAAATTCAATATATATACAAAATTCAATACATACAAATGTTCCATTAAAGGAATTGGATGAAAACTGACTCATTAACTATTTATTGCTATTGCTACTATATTGCTATACATACATACATACATACACACACACACACACACACACACATACATACACACACACACATATACACATACACATACATACATACACATACATACATACATACATACATTTTTTAACATTCAATGTCAGGGCAATCTACATATGGTAGACACCCAATGCAATCCTGACAGACTGGATCCTTAAAGTCATATATCACTATATATTATTATATGAGCATCACTATATACTATGGCTATCGAGTACAACTTAGGCTGTTTTTTCATTTGACTATAGGTTTTAAAAGTTCTCCTTTTTGACATTTTAAGTGTTTTTTAAAGTTTTTTTTTGTACTGGGGCAAAAAGTTGCCCTTTTTTAAGTGGTCTTATTTTGCTTATAATTTAATCATTACTTGCATGTTTTAAGAGTAATACTGACCATCTGGATTGTCCACTAAGTCTGAAGTTCTGGAAGAAAACTTCTTCAAATAGCAGTTGGCTCCAGATGTACATAAAAAATGGATTTTGCTGTCTGCCCTGCCTTGAAATCACAGCCAGAGAAAAAGGATGCCAATAATTTTTCTTTTAGTTAATGAGTCAGTTTTCATCCAATTCCTTTAATGGAACATTTGCCCGATTTTTTAAGATTTGGGACCAATTTCTAATATAAACAGTAATCTGAAGTTCATGTCTAAAAATATTTTACAACTTGTCCCATTCTTTTAAGAATTATAATTATTAGAGTATCTTTTTTTTTAGTATCAAATAGTTATAGACATAGAAAATCCTTGGAACAGATAATCAAACTACAGTCCAAATCTGTGCAAATAAAGTCTCAAGTACTCCCATCCTCCCCAAGCTTTCTTAGCTTTCTGTTCTTTTCTTTCATTTAATAAAATGTGTGGCCTTTTATTTATGTGCCAATAATGCTTCATGGTAAGGGAAATGTCCTAGAAAAGTAATTGTAAGAACCATCTGTAAATTAGACACTTGATACTTCCCACAGAGAAGAATGAAAATGTAGACACTGTAAATAATCAAATGTTAACTAGCAAATATAATCAAGACATTTGCTACAGGATTTGGTCTGTTAATTTCCAGACCAATAATTTCACATGGATTTTAAAAAGTATGTTGTATGAAGTAAGGTCTTTTAGGTTTCTCAAGAAATAATGTTCATTTCCTGCAGAGAATTGTAGAGAATTTTCTAAAATTAAAATGATTTAGAATTTAAAGGCCAAATTTAGTGGTACATGTACCACCCACAATTAATCAGGAAGATTTTTGAGGTTCAGCCCAGTAGCATTCTTAATGTTATGACATCTACCACTAGAGATGGGGCATTTTGTTAAATCTGCAATCTGTTACCTAACATCTATTTGTCTAACACAAAGAATTAAGTGCTCAAGAATTAGATGGAGACATCCAACTTCTGCATTTTTATTTATGTAATTAATTATTTTTTTGAAAACATTTGTATAACAACCTATTCTCAGCGTCTCCCTTTTTTTTGCCAATACCCAATTAATTTAATGAAATAATATTTGCTTTTGTAATTTGTCTTAAAAATATTTGGGTAATTTTTCATGTGTAAAATGTAGAATTCCTGCAATTATTTAATTATAATGAGGCCAAGATACATCCATGTGTGTGCATACAAATGTCCTGTCCTTCATTGCATAATCATCTCTTTGGGGATCTGCAGAGTATGATGTAGAGTAATATAATTTGCTCAATTAATACTCAAAAGAATAAGTTCCTTATTCTTATTTCAATGTTTTTCCCTCCAAATTGGGAAGTATGGATAATCAGGTGGATTTCAGAATAATGGAAATAAGTGTAATAAAGACAGAAATGTCAGCAGTGTGTCTATCATGACAAAGTAAGCTCAGATTTTAAAGAATTCTGAATCACTTTTCAAACAGCCTGAGTATCAGGGTTCCAAATAGCATCCAATATAAAATCAGAGTCTGAGGCAAGAGATTCCTCAAAGTTCCACTTTATTAAAAGAGCCATGTTGGCACATCTGGGAAAACCCGAATCTGAAAGCTTTAAGGTTTCCACACACAATTGAAAGTTCGAGATCCTGACCCAACACCCACAAGTTCATCACATGGTCCAATCTTCCTCTGTCACAAAGACAGATTCCTCCCACCCAGTTCTGGCCAGGTGCAGAGACAAAGATGACCCTGGCTTTCTAAGAAGAATGTTGTTATGGCTACATATTCCCCAATGCCATATAATCCTTCCTCCCATTTTCCCACAATAGAAAGTGTGGCAGGCCTCAAGTCCAAAAAGAAAAGATGACTTGCAGGCATGACATTGAGAATATGATAAAAATACAGTGACTCTTTACTTAAGAAGGCAACTATTGAGAAATGGCAAAGCAAATCCAATGCATTGCTTAAAATATGTTACAAAGTATGCATTTTGTCAAGTGCCAATTTTATTCTCTATACCTGCCAGCATTGGCTGGCTTTGGGAATTGGATGCACTGTCAAATTCCCATAGCATCATGGCAAATATGAGGCATGGTAGGAAATTTAATATGGAAGATGTTTCCCAGATCAACTCAGAAAATAAATATGTATCTGGAGAAATAGCTGGCTTCAATGCAACATGACAGCTGCAAAATTGGTGGCTGCAACTTCTGAGCTAGGATTATTGTCAACAACAGCTTTCCCCAACATGGCACCTTCCAGATGTATATGGACTGCAGTAATTCTCAGAATTCATAGCTGTTAGGATCAAAGGTTATGCTGCTTGAGAACAGTGGAAAATGTATCCCTAGGACATCAGATTGTGAAGACTGTCATAGAAACCTATGGCTTGCAGGTTTGAATTAACATGCCATGTGTCTTTCATGCTTACTCTCTGTTTTGCCTTCTAGTCCTTTCTCATTGGTTGATGCAGATGAGTGATTCTTATTTGAAAATGCTATTTTGCAGGTTTAAAGTGATAACATCTTTAGTGAGAAAAGAAGCAAGATTGTAAAGGGTCTCAAGTGAACCAAAGTTCAGAATTAATGGACATCTCATCCTTTACATTTAATAACAACAGAGTTTATAGTAGAAAATCTTCTCATTCTCCTTTTCCTTCTCTTCCTTCAGCAGATCTGAAAAGAATAAAAAAGGGACCCAGAAAAGTCAAATTATTCTGATTTTGGACAATAGCACAAGTGATTATTTTTTGCTGAAAACTTTCTATCAAGAGAAAAATACATTCCCCCCCCTTCTATTTCTTTCAGAGCTACGATGGCACAGTGGTTAGAGTGCAGCACTGCAGGCTACTTCTGCTGACTGCTNTCATTCATTCTAAATTCCAAGAAACCAAATAATGAGTAAAGAAGTGAAGCACAGATTTGCAAGAGATGGGCTAAAGCCAACTACTTCAAATAAGATTTAATTGTAAGCCTTTTTCTAGTTTATTTCTCAGGTGGTGTGGCACTTTAATTATAGGAAGTTTAGCCAGACTTTTATAAAATAATCTGAAAAGCACCTTTTCACCTTCTTTTCTCAAAATTGGCAGTGAAAAATTATTCTGACTGGGTTTTTTTGGAGGGCTATTACTTTTGTGGAATGGAATATAATTAGAACAGATATTTAGAATGCTGTGTAATTGTACTAAAACCCTTTGATAATGCAATCACGTCTTCTGTGTTTTTGTTCATTGAGTTATGGCTCACAATTCCAAAGTTAGAAAATGATGTAGCAATTTTTCTAAAAAAGCAGGAAATAAAAAACATGTTTTGCTCCAGTTTTTCATAATTCAGAAGGACAGAGTGTCCTCAGGCAAAAATTAGTAAGCTTTGAATTCAAGTCTTCTTGCAAAATTTTACAAGGCAGAATTCTTTGTTTCCCTTTAATGTCAAACATTAAGGGACCAATTACTATAGTTGCAATAAAGTACTTTGCACATGGCCAGAAGCAATTCAGTTAAAAACATGGATTCACATTCATTAACTGCTCCTTCGTCAGGAACAATAAGTTATACTTTAAAGTAACAATTTGTTCTGTGATGTCCAAAGATCTGATTCTGGCATCAAAATCAGAAATCCACTTTATGTTGTATCCAAATCAAATTCTGGGGACATTCTTCCTGCTTCCTTATTGTTAAGGATATAAACATTCTCAGGATCAATTTTAGGCTGTTAGGATAAACAGGAGGAAGAACACTGGGGAGTTGAGTGACCTGGCTGAAGAATGCCTTGACTCCTTTCCTGACAGCAGAAGAAAAGGAAAGACTTTTCATAGCTTGGACATAACATAATAAAGACACTTTCAATAGAGAGAATATCTATAGCTCAGGGGTGAACTCTTGATGCCCTCGGAGCTTAATTGTTTATTTGCAGATGTTTCATTATATGAGTAGGTAATATCCTCAGTGGTGTTTCAGACGTGGTGTTTCAGACGTGGCTCAGTGGCTAAGATGCTGAGATTGTCGATCAGAAAGGTCGACAGTTTGGCGGTTCAAATCCCTACCAGGGCATAATGGGGTGAACTTCTGTTACTTGTCCCAGCCTCTGCCAACCTACCGTGTTTTCCCCAAAATAAGACAGGGTCTTATTTTCTTTTGACCCGCTGAAATAAGTGTTTGGACTTAGTTTCGGGGGGGTCTTATTATTTTTGAAGTGCAGGAGGCGGCAGGCGTGGTCACCTCATGGTTTCTGCTATTTTCGGAGAGGGCTTATTTTTTGGGGAGGGCTTATTTTAGCACATGTGCTCAAAAGCCCAATTGGGCTTATTATCCGGGAGGTCTTATTTTTGGGGAACAACCTAGCAGTTCGAAAACATGTAAAAATGCAAGTAGAAAAATAGGAACCATCTTTGGTGTGAAGGTAACAGGGTTCCGTGCACCTTCCGCGTTTAGTCATGCAGGTCACATGACCACAGAAACATCTTCGGACAGCGCTGGCTTTTTGGCTTTGAAACAGAGATGAGCACCGCCCTCTAGAGTTAGGAACAACTAGCACATTTACCTTTACCTAACATCTTCAGTACCTGATGATGACTAAGAACGTATAAAAAGGCTCAGTTATACATGTCATTTTTTTCTACTAACAAATAGTCATCATCATAGTTGCATAGATCTTTAGAGATTGCAAAAAAGGGGAAGGGGAGGAATTTTTTTTGGGGGGGGGTAACCACAGCATTAGACAGAGAATTTTCTGTTTTCTTAGAGACTGAGCTTTGAACAATGTCCACTAATTTCCATTAAGTGGCCTGTTTAAGGGATAGCAACATACTCTCCACATAGTTTGGTGTATGTGCCTTGTTTATGCATGTATTTATTAAATATATTTGTGTGCTTAATGCTGTTCCTACTTAATCCTGTATTAACAATGAACTGGAATGAAGAAACTGGCCCTTTGGTAAAGAAGGGATATACTTTTGGGTAATCTCCATGAGCAATTAAAGCTCAAATTGGCAGCTCCAAATCCTTTTTCTAGAGCTTATGCACTGGCTAGTTTCCAGATGTTCTCTCTGTAGCTGATAAGACTTGGAAAAATGAAAGTGCAATGCTCATTTTATGTGTGCAATTTTGGTGCGCTGATAATCCAGTTGTCCTTTTCTTTCAGAGGTTACAGGGACAACTATCTATAACTAGATCAACAATTTTCCTCTTGGTATTACAGGGTTTTGCTGCTGGAATACGTTGTAAAATGTTTTTTTCTGCACTTTAAGAAAGTGACCTTTTATACAGCGGAAATCTCAGGGGCATCCAGCCCTTCATTTATTGTCCATTTCAGCAAAATGTGACAACTTTGCTCACATCAGAAATTTCAATTTAGTTTCAAAACCGCATTGTGTTATAGCTGTGGTGGATGGAGGTGATTTCAAGAGGAAGGTCTCAGAGGAGATGGGTTTCTCTATTTTTAATCAGAACAGCTGCAATGGTATGAATTCTCAAATATACAGTGCATCCAGGTCTGTGTATATGTAATAGTCAGATGAGTATTTCAATGGGTGATGATAAACCATATCTACCCAGCATTCTTTGCCAGTTGCAGGTGACTAGACTACATTTGAGATATTGTAGGATGATTTGAAGAAAGTTTGACTTGAAGTGAAGATGGCTTAAAAAGAAATGCATAGACCTATAAAAATATCTTATAGTATAGATCAATGGCTAACCTTTTTGTCATTGCGTGCTGAAAGCACATGCCCACGAAAGTGCACCCATAATGCCATGCATGCTTGACATCCCCATGCCCCATGCATGCAGCCTGTTTTGGACCTCCTTGCAGTCTCCTGTGATCATAAATGGGCTGCGGGGGGAACTCACACCCCCGTGTTCCCCTTTACCCCTGTATGCACGCACAACTCCCCGCCCCGCTCATATGCGCATGTGTCCCACATACATCCCACCACCTGAAAATCCCCAGAGGAAAGATCCAAAAATCCCAGGAAGAAAGACCTGGGAGGTGTGCAGGGTAGAGCTGAGCTGGGGGGACGGCTCACATGTCCGCAGAAAGGGTTCTGCATGCCATATGTGGCATGCGTGCCATAGATTCACCATAAAGGGTGGACAATTAATTTTTCCAAGAAGCCACATGAGAAACTGGACTGTTGTGGAGAGCCAAACCACAATGTAACCTGAATTGATGTCCTCAAACTTGGTTACCTCAACTCCTCCAGGTGAGGAGTGAGAGCTGCACAGGAGCATAGAAGTGCTTTTTCTTCTCAACTTACGTCAACCACCAGCTGATTGAAGGAGCACATAGTGACTGGGCAGAGCCAAACATAACATGGCTTCTCATGCCAATAATGTAAATGGCGTCCATATTTACATTAGATTTCTAATTTCCAATTCACTTCATGTGGGCTGGATAAGAACAGCCAAAGCGCTGGATGTGGCCCGGGGGCTGTAAAATGTCCAGGTTTGGCATAGATAATTGTACATGAATGTGTGTGTGTGTGTGTGTGTGTGTGTGTGTGTGAGAGAGAGAGAGAGAGAGAGAGAGAGAGAGAGAGAATGAGAATAAAATATATTTGCTGCCATCAGGCGACGGCTAC